CTCTAGATTTTGCTTTCCACCAAGGGTGATGCCAAGATTCGCTTCGTACCGTTTAAGTACTTCAATCCTCTCTAAACGGCATTCCGGTGAGGTTTTCCTGGGCTCACCAGGAATTGACCGACTTCTCGTAGAAAATATGCGAGATCAGGTCTAGTTCCCATCATTAAGTACATGAAGCTACCAACTGCCTCTCTGTACGGGATCGCTTTCATCTCATGTTTTTCTTCTGGCGTTTGGGGGCACATGGCCTCCGTCAGCTTCACACTGGGATCAGCGGGTGTACCAACCGGGTGTGCATCAAGATGAGAGAAGCGATCCAGGACTTTGGTAGCGTACTTCGCTTGGTGGATGAAAATGGTTCGGTCCGTACGGTTGCGTACGATTGACCAGCCTAAGATGTATTGAGCTCTACCGAGATCAGACATTTTGAAGCGCTGCTTGAGAGCGTTCTTTATGTTGTTAATGATATCAAGCGTAGGGGCTATGAGGAGGAGGTCGTCCACATAGACTAGAATGTAGCATGTAGCTCCATCCACAACTCCAATGAAAACGCATTGGTCTTTGATGAGTTTGTGGAATTTCATGGTGAGAAGAAAAGAGCACAGGGTAAGATACCAGATCCGAGGTGCCTGCTTGAGACCATATAGGCTCTTCAAAAACTTGCAGACTAAGTGCTCTTTTCCACGAACAGTAAACCCTTCAGGTTGCAGCATGTAAATTTCCTCATCGAGGTATCCGTTCAGGAAAGCCGTTTTAACATTCATTTGATGGATCTCAAGGTCAAGGAGTGCTGCAATCGTCAGTAAAAGTCGCAGCACTTCCATGCGGATCACTGGAGAGAATATCTCATCGTAGTCAACGCCATACTTTTGCAAAAAACCTTTTATTACCAGGCGGGCTTTATAGCGGTCAATACTGCCGTCTCCATTGTATTTTACAACGAATACCCATCGACACTGTAGGGCCCTTCTCCCTGTCGGTAGTTTTGTGAGGACCCACGTTTTGTTGTCAATCAATGATTTGTATTCACAAATGGCTGCCTTCTCCCAGTGTTGTGCTTCTGGTAGTTTCTGGGATTCTAGGAACGTCTTTGGTTCAGATATGTGTCTGATAGCCAATAGAGCGTAGATATGAGTGAGGTGCTCTTTTCGTTCGTTAATACGAGTGGATCATCAAGTAGCCACGAGTGTTCATCCTCGTTCTGAGCGTTCGTTTTGTGTTTGACTTTCTTCATCTTTACTACTACTTCCGAGGCAAGCGCATTGACGCTGCGTTTTAGTAGTGAGGCTATTAGAGGTAGCAGCGACGGTGATAGCGTCGGTGCGGGGCCATTTTGGTCCGAGATTGCTGGTGTATTGAGGAATTCCAAGTGTGGGAACTCGTCTTCTCTAAACACAACATCCCTGCTGTAGATAACACGGTTTTCTTTCGTATCAAGGAGTCTATATCCCTTTTTGTTTGATGGGAGTCCTAAGTACATGCACTTCTTAGCTCGTGGCTCTAGTTTTGTGCGGTGTATCTCAGGGATGTGAGCGTACGCAGTACACCCAAACACTTTAATGTAGTGCGCGGATGGTTTTTGCTTGAACCATTTCTCGTATGGGGTGGCCTTATCGGTTACCGAGCTGGGAGTAATGTTCAGAAGGTCAGCAACGTGTTTGACGCATTCTCCCCAAAGAGCCTGCGGTAGGTTACCATCAATGAGGAAAGCCCTGGTTCGTTCGAGTAGTGTACGCATGCGCCTCTCTGCAACTCCATTTTGCTGGGGCGTGTACGCATTTGTAAATTGTGCGTGCGTATTGTACTTCTGAAAAATCATTTTTCC